TAAAAAAAAAAAAAAGAATGAATACATTGTAATCAAGAAAAAATAAAGAAGTAATATCAGAAAAAAAAATGTATTGCAAATTTCAGAGGAAGATTTAGGAATAATTCCCTTTCTTGCTATTTTAGTAGTACAATGCATGTGTAACCTGCAAGATCCTATTATAACAAACAGAAAATATTTAGGGCTCTGGTGTGGTTGCAGTGGTCATCAAAGATGTCACTTAGGTCCTCCTATGTCATGTGCTGGTGTTCCTTCAAGAAATAAAACCCTATAGATGAACCATTACCACATACAACTACTATGAGATTACATGAATGTACTTCTCTTTTAAAAAAAAAAAAAAAAGTTCTCTATGCTATTGCTGATATGCCAGACAGCACATTAAACTCACATCTAGAACAGAGGTTGTTCTTACTCCCCAGGAGCTTTCATAGGAATAAATACGACACTATTCAGAAACTGACAGTTATTTGTGATATTCAGTACTCGTTGATGACAAGACCTTCAGAATTACAGATTCAGCAGGCATTTTCAGATGTGATGTGAAGTCTTCATTGAAAGTCTTTTTTAGGTAATTGTAAGATTGCTTGGCTCTTAAACTGCCATAAGCAGGAACTAATAAAGAAGTTATTTAAATCAAATAAAGGAAATAACGAAAATCATCTCAAATAAAAAGTTCTCATTTTCATTTTCACACAGTCTCCCTGTTTCTCATCTTACTTATGTTTGTTCTCTGCTTCTTTGATCTGTTTCCTTTTCTTGGAGGGCCAGAAAGCCAAAAACAAGCTCTCAATAAAAAGCAAAGAAAATCCCAACCTTATTATTTTTTTTTTTTTAGCATAGATGAACTCATCTGTGAAGACATCTTTGTTAAAATGTAAAACATGCATTCATGATGCCTAGCTGGGTTACCTAGCTACTGTCTTAAGGGAAAATGTTATGATTGGACTCATGCATTAATAATTAGTATAAATTTAAAAAATACATAATAGCTTCAAACATAATACCAAACTCATCCACTTAAATGACAGAAAACTGACTATAAAGGACCAACTACCAGAACCTTTACCAGAAATGCATGTTTTATTTGTAACTGAGAATTTAAACCTCAAATGCTTTTACAGATTAGCTTACAGAAATATCTTACCTATCTTTGCTTTAATCAACAGCCACATAATTATAAAAATAAATGCCAATGGGCATCCTCTAACAGTACATGCCATGAATAGTCAACTCTGGAATGCACTCTGTAATTCTTTCCTGTAAGAGAGACAAATTTATTCATGTTAAATAAATTCAGAAAATAACTGAAATCAAAATTGTTCAGAAGAGCTAAAATGCTATTTTATTTTTCCACATTGCAAAGATTTTGTTCAGTGTTTTTTTAAAATAAAGGACACCTTTAAGATTAGTACATTGAAAATCTTAGTTATCACCCCACCAAGTTAAGAGTTTTATGGTCAGCAAAGGATGGGAGGATAAGCATGGGCTTTTGAGTCCTTTAGACCTGAGTTTAAATACTTTGTGACCTTGGTCAAGTTATTTAACATTTCTGAGCTTCAGTCTCTTCATTGAGAAAACAGGAATAATTAAATTTATCTCTACAGAGTTTTAGATATAAAAAAGTCATATATATAAAAGCATAGTGCTTAGTACTCAATAATATTAGTTCACAAACCACCCCTCTTCTTCAGCAGTCAGTGGCATTATGATCCAAATGTAGACATCTTCCTCTTCCTCTTTTAAAATCTGTCATCTACAATTAACTGAAATGCCAGTACAATTCTCTCCTTGATTCACTCATTCATCTATTCATCCAAACACTTGTCATTTACCTACTTTATGCCAAACACTGTGCTATTTGAAGAGTTTTCAAAGAATAATGAAAAAGATGTGGTTCTTTTCCTTGAGGGTCTCAGAGTCTAACATGAGAAATAAACATCAGTAACTATTAATACAACATGGTAGGTGATATTCCTATAATAAAAGAACACAGAGCTGCTAGAGGACCAAGGAGGGAGCATCTGATTCTTGGTGAGATGGACTATTATGGGGGAGGAAAGGGAGTTACTGAACACTTTAAAGAAAAATAAATGACATTTGAATTTGATTTGAAGGGTGACTAGTTAGAAAAATGGGAGAAGACTTTTAGAATATACTCTACACTCAAAACCAAACCAAACTCACTGCCATCGAGTTGTTCCAACTCACAGTGACTCTCACTAGGTTTCCAAGGCTATAAATCTTTATGGAAGCAGACTGCCTCATCTTCCATGCAGCGGCTGGTGGATTCAAACCACCTACCTTTCGGTTAAGGCCAAATGCCTTAACCACTACACCACCAGAACTCCTTATACTGTGTACTAGAGAGCCCTAACTGAAGTTTTCTGAATTTCTTAACTACAAACTACAAAAAGGAGGAACTACCAGAGTCACTATCAATATTCTTGGGGTTCAAACACTTGGCTTTGATGTGACTGGAGAGAAATCCTCTCACTGAAGAAGGCAATTGCGGAGGCCTTGGTGAAAAATAATGGAGATATGGACCATGGTTGTAGAAGTGGAGATAGAAAGAAGCAGTCAGATCTCAACAAGTCTTACCTAAGTCTTTAGGTCATATTGAAGGCTCCAAGCAGTATCCTTATAGCATCCTAGCTTACCTCTATCTCAGTCAGTTGCCATTGAATCAATTTGGACTCATGTTCAAACTCAAGTGTGTCAGAGTAGACTTGTTCTCCACAGGATTTTTAGTGGCTGAGTTTTTGAAAATAGCTGATATTTTTCTTCCAAGTCCTTCTGGTGGGCTAGAACCATCAGCCTTTCAGTTAGTAGCAGAGAGCATTAACCATATTTGTACCACCCAGGGCTCCTACCCCTACCTTCCAAAACCTAAATTCTCTGTCATCAAGCCTATTCTAACTCATAGTGACCCCTACTGGGTTTCCAAATGTGTTAATCTTTACAGAAGCAGACTACCTCATTTTTCTTTCACAGAGTGGCTGCTGGGTTCCAAGTACCGTCTTTTTGGTTAGCAGTCAAATGTCTTAACCTCTACACCAAGAGAGCTTCTTACTTCTGTCTTAGCAACTACTATATTAAATATAATTTATCTATTTAGGCATTTACATTTTTCCTTCATTAGCCAACAAGCTCCCCAGGGACAGGACTAAACATGTGATACATGTGTTGACCTGACAAATGAGTTTTCTCTGTTGCTCTATTGTACTTCCAGTTTAGTTTAAAATGAATATGTTTTTAAATAATTGGATCTTATTCTGCTACATTGTGGTCAACATCCCTAATACTTTTGTTTCTTGTAGCTACTTTAGTTGCTGCATTAAAATCTGAAATACTGTGGCATTGAGAAAAATGGTGGATTGAACTAGAAAATAGTTGGATGGACAAATACATAGGATTAAATAGGTCTCCATTTCCTAGCTGCAAAGGATGTCTGCCGCACAGCTTCACAGAGATTTTCAATGTGTTCAGCAATTTATGAAGCTATAACATTCCCAAAATAGTAAAATATCCAATTGGTCATTCTAAGGCATTTTAAAATGAAGATATATAATAAGAAGTAGATAAACTTGAGTTTATATAGTACATTGATCTAAACACAAACTTGCTCATTTTCTCTGAAAGCTAGGTAAAACCATCTTCTCCATTTATGAGAAATTCAGAACCCCAAAGACCTTCAAGTAAATGAGGTATCTTCCAATAAAATGAAACCTCCTGTCAACTGTAAACATCCTTCATACACCTGCTTGGAGGGTCGATATTAAAACTACAACCGTACCTTGAGTCAGAAAATCAGAGTATGTTATGACATTGACTCATCACTGAAGTTGGCAGTTTCCACACAGTGAAAACAATGTCTCAGATGAGGGGGAAACCAGAGCCAGAAATACAGTGATGGCAGGAGGGCAGAGGTGACAACTGTCCCTCAGTGTCTTTTCCTGTGGCTCCAGAGAGAAATGCAGAATATGCAGTTTCTTCAAAATCATTTGTTACTACACTGAGAAGAAACCCTTAAGTTTTTCTCTTTGGGTGATCATGTCACATAGGTAAGGCACTTTTCTACTTCTACCTTTTCTCTTTTCTTTCCTGAAACACCGTAGTATGTGCAAGGAGCAGTATGATATTGTGGAAAAAAGCTGTGGAACCTCAGCTGTGCTGTTTATGATTAAGTGTGAAAGTTCTGTCTCCTCATCTGAAAAGGAGACCTGGTGGTACAGTGGTTAGCACTGGGCTGCTAACCAAAAAGTTGGCAGTTGGAACCTATCCAGTAGCTCCGTGGGAGAGAGACCTGGCAATCTGCTCCTGTAAAGATTACAGTCTAGAAAACCTTATCAGGCAGTTCTATTTTGTCACATAGGGTCGCTATGAGTCAACATCGACTCAATGGCACACAACAGTAATAGTAACAACAATAGGTAGAGTGATATCTACCTAGACAAAGTTATTGTTAAGATTACATGATAGTGTCAAGGACCCAGGAGAATACCTAGCACAAATTAGCACCCCACTGAGACTAGTTCTCATTTTCCCCTCTTTTTATTTTTAATCGCTTGTGACTTTCAATGTACTGGAATTGTTTGTTTGTTAGACTATGTATTGTTATGTTGTTGTTGTTATGTGCCTCGTCGAGTTGGACCCTATTTATAGTGAACCCTCTTTGGGTTTCCCCAGGCAGTATCACTACTGAGAAGATAGATTGCCCAACCTTCCTTCTGGAGTGGCTGGTGGGTTTGAACCGCCACCCTCCGGTTAGCAGTCAAGTGCCTTAGGCACTATGCTACCAGAGCTCCTGACTATGTGTTGTTGTTGTTGTTGTTGTTGTTGTTTGCCGTGGAGTCGACCCCGACTCATAGCGACCCCTCCTTGGGTTTCCGAGGCAGTATCACTACGGAAGTAGGATTGCCCAACCTTCCTTCCGAGGAGTGGCTGGTGGGTTTGAACCATCAGCCTTCTGGTTAGCAGGCAAGTGACTTAGCCACTATGCTAATTTTATTTCTAATCCTGGCTATCAAAGAATTTTTAGAAGCAGGGGAGGAAGGAATTCAAAGGTTATGTAGTAAGTACTACACCCCTGCTGCTCCCTTACCTCTCAACATTGACATTTCAGTCTCGACTACTTCAGAACAACTAAGTGATTACCCTGAGTATGCATCAGTGGAAGGAGACTGCTTCTCAGAAGCCATTCTTGTCCACACACCCCCACACACCACAATATTGATTGCTTTTATTTTAAGGTTTTAAATGTAGCAAATAATTTATTAGCATTTAAAAATATTTTCAGTAACACTGGATTTTTTAATCACATATGCATTCAAGAAGAAATGATTATATTGTCCTGTCATATACAGGCATAGCTCATTTTATTGCACTTCACAGATTTTTTTTTTTTTTTTTACAAATTGAAGGTTTGTAGCAACTCTGCATCAAGCAAGTCTATAGGTGTCATTTTCCCAATAGCACTTGCTCACTTTGTGTCTCAGTGTCACATTTTGGTAATTTTCATCATACTTCAAGCTTCTCCATAATGCTTATTTAATAGACTACAGTATAATATAAACGTAACTTTCATATGCACTTGGAAACCAAAAAGTTGGTGTCACTTGCTTTATTGTGATACTCACTTTATTGTAGTGATCTGGGACCAAGCCCACAATATCTCTGAGGTATGTCTATAAGTTATTTTAAATTTTGAATATACCATCTCAAGATGTGTAAGAATTTCAAAGTTTTCACTAAGCCTATGGAAGTCATTTATTTCCTCCATAAAATATTAAACACTGAAAATGAAACATCGAGTACATATGACATTAAGATATGGCATTAGTGTGAGAGTAAACAAATTGCAATGTTTAATATATTTTTAAATTATTGTCAAAACCAAAAAATCAGACTCACTGCCATCGATTGTAAAGTTGATTAAATATGAATATCTGCTTTAAATTAGAGCTTAACATTGATAAATATTTAATAAACTATATCTCAGGAGGACAAGCCTTCTAATATCTTATATTCTTAGCATAACAATTAATTGGTGAATTTACATTTGTAGAAGATGGAACTGGAAAAAATTATAATGATCTTACTTTCAGAGTACAGGCAATCAATCCCCAGATTGTGAACGAGTTCCATTCCTTAATCTTTAAGTCAAATTTGAAGTTAGAATAGTTAGATACTGTTAGTATTTAACATCAGTTAATCAACTGTTTATCTTAGTATATAGTATATGGTG